AAAAATCTGAAAGCGCTTAGCAGCCCATCTGGAATCTCAGTTGGATTTGGCGACTGTAGAAGCAAGCAGAGATTCCATATTTATGCAAAGGGCACAACCTTTCCTGGGCTTTTAATATGAACTTGTATTTTTGTCTCCATTCTGAAAAATAGGTGCATGTTGGGTGCAGAAAATCTTGCAAGGTATTGAAGAATAAAAAAATGACATGATATGAAAATTTAGGGGCCAGTCTGCAAAAGTGCTGAGTACTGAGTGGCTCCTAATGTTCTTTGTTTAGGAGAATCAGAGGTGCCCTTGTAGCCTTGTGCTAGTGTGCTGAGCTCTGTTTAATCTAGTTAGCTTGGATATCAGTAGGAGTGAAGATGTGGTAACATCGGTTCAATACAGGCTTTATTAGCCTACTGGGAAACCCTGATTTAGGTCCATGTATAGCTATTGCATTGCTCTCATTTGGAATTGCTGGGTGTGGAACACCTGGAAATCCGTCTGTTATCTCTCAGTTGTTTAAATGGGAGATGGTTGGATGCAGAGCTCTTCAGGTGATCAGACTTCTTGTAGTTGGAAGTATGACTACACAGTCATTAAATCGTATAGACCTTTGCACCCTAAGTGTTTGTGCAGGAAAAAAAGTTCTAGTTTGTTTTTTGTTGTTTTTTTTTAAATGAGCAATTACATAAAATCATAAACTATTAGGGTTGGAAGGGACCTCAGGAGTGCAACCCCCTGCTCAGGTAGATCGTTCTAGTCCACGTTTGTTGACCTGGGCCTTAAACCTCCAAGGATGGAGAGCCCACAGCCTTTCTGGGTAACCTGTTCCAGTGATTCACCACTCTCCTAGTGAGAGTTTTTCCTAATATCCAGCCTCAGCTTCCCTTGCTGCAACTTGAGCACATTGCTCCTTGTCCTGTCATCTGCCCCCACTGAGAGCAGTCCAGCTCTGTCCTCTTTACAACCCCCTGCAGGGAGTTGAAGGCTGCTATCAAATCCCCCCTTGGTCTTCTCTTTTCCAGACTAAATAAGTCCAGTTTCCTCAGCCCCTCCTAACAAGCTATGTGCTCCAGCCACACAACCATGTTCATTGCTCTTCTTTGGACTCTCTCCAATTTGTCCACGTCCCTTCTGTAGTGGGGGGGCCAAAACTAGACACAGGACTCCAGATGTGGCCTCACTAGTGCTGAATAACCGCTTCCCTTGATCTGCTTGCAAAGCTCTTACTGATGCAGCCCAGGATGCTGTTAACTTACTTGGCAACAAGAGCGCACTGCTGGCTCTTATTGTCCACTGTCCTCCCCAGGTCCTTTTCTGCAGAGCTGCTGCCCAGCCAGTCAGCCCCCAGCCAGTCCTAGTGCATGGGATTGCTTCGTCTTAAGTGCAGGACTCTGCACTTGTTGAACCTCATGAGATTTCTTTTGGCCCAATCCTCCAATTTATCTAGGTCACTCTGACTCAGAGTCTTACCTTGCAGTGCATCTGTTGCACCCCCCAGCTTGGTGTCATCCAGGAACTTGCTGAGAGTGCACTCCATCCCATCTTCCAGTTCGTTAATGAAAATATTGAACAAAACCGGCCCCAGGACTGACCGTTGGGGCACTCCTCTTGATACTGGCTGCCGGCTAGACGTTGAGCCATTAATTATTTCCTATTGAGCCCGATGATCCAGCCAGCTTTCTCTCCAACTTATGGTCTATTCATCCAACCCAGACCTCCTCCATTTGCTTGCAAGAATGCTGTGGGAGATGGCATTACCTGTACTTACAGCAACTTTTATTTTAGTGCTCAAGAAGTCCTGCCTGCACTAGTAATGACTGCTTGTCAGCTGAATGGGTTTTACAAAAACATTCATTTTAAGCTTGTTGCTGAACATTGAGAGAAGACACGTACAGGTGAGAATGAACAGCATGTCAGAATCTGTCGCAGTTTCTGCCAAACTCTCTTTTTACTAGCTGTCATCAGGAGCCCCTTCAGTAAGTTGATGAAGTAAAATTGGCTTATGTAAGAGAAGAATTGGACCTTGTCTCTTTGCATGCCAATTCGGTGAAATTCTCTGCCATCCACTTCAGCCATGACTATAGGTTTTCATTTGTAGCCCACAAGGCCGTGTGATGGTAATCAAGCATGGTTTCCGCTTTGACCTGGCCCATTTTTCCCGTCGTTACACAGTAAGTCTGTGGCAGAGTTTGGTATAGATTTTTAGGGCCCCGAATTCCAGTCTAGTGCAGGGTGCACTAGATTGTAGCAAATGGGGACTGGAAGGCATCTCTTGGGCCATCGCATCCAATCTCTTGCATTTATTTGCCCAAAAGGGCCTACAAGAATATCTTTGCCAGTTTGAACTGAGGCAAAAGTTCCTTTCCAGACATTTGTCTTTTTAAATACCAGAGTTGTGGGATACATTGAACAATAGGGGGAGTTACTGTAGGAGGTTTTGCAGGGAAACTAGAAATACAGTATCCAATAGAATACACATTCGGACAATTAGCCTTCATTTCCCTGCTGTTTGGTGATTCCCATCTTCAGCTCTTGCATTGTACATGCTTTCACTTGCCTTGCTGGGAGCACCGTTCATGGAGAGGCCATGAGGTGGAACAAAATGGGAAATGGACAAAGTTTGCAGTTCAGGGAAAGAGTAGGATATTTTGTGTGCTCGTGTCAAGAACTCCTTTTTTGGGGGGTCCTGTGCCTCATCCAAGTCCAGTGTTGATGGAATTGGTGGTACTTACTGCCCTGGTGAAGCAATTGCAGGATATTACCATGCATGCTCTAATATCTGTTGTCAAATTTCCCCTTCCTCCTTTTTGATTCACTATTTGTTTTGTGTTTTTCTTTATTTTTTTGTGGGTTTTTTTGGGGTGCTGCTAATTATTCTCTCTCCTTTTAAAAATATGTGCTATAGCTTTCTCTTCCTTTTAAAACTTGCTGCCTGATTCTGAAGTTACTCCAGCTTTCTGTCCCATTACTCATCAAGAGACACATGTGCATGAATACAGATTTTCTGCATAGGTTACAAAGGACAAACTTATTAGCATGTGTATAGGATTTTAAGTTGTAGCTCTCACTTTCATGCATGGTAAAGTATTCAGGTAGTGTACACTAACAAAAGAGCCATAATAAAGTTGGTTATAGTTACATGCAAACTGTGGGGTGTGAAATCTAAGTTAATTCATATTGTTTCACTACATTAGATGAAGCATGAATTCTTATTTTCCTGAGCCATGGAAGGTTTCTTTTTCTTTTCCTTTTTTCGTCTCTTCAAATTGGGCTGCTTCTATAAACACAGCATGCTGAAACTGGACTTCCGTTTTTTTTCAGACAATTGAAAATAGATGGATTGGGGAGGATCAAGAACAATTCCAACTTGTACCATCCTTGCACATGCAAAAATATTGCCCAGACTAAAACAAATGCTGAATTCTTGCACATCTGTGACCCTGGCATACCTCTTGCCTAGTTCGTTAATCAGAAGGATTGAGCAACCTTTGTTGAGAGGAGGTTATTTAAAGGGTTTGGATTTTTGTTGCATTTTTGTCTTCCTTGTAATATACCAAGCTAAAGAGACTGGAAGTTTCCAGATTAAATGACTCCTTTTGGGTGCTAAATTTTGAAAATACCTTTCAGAAGTTGGGGGTTCAAGCTTGGTCCCCCAAAAATCACTAACTGCTTTTGAAAATGTTGTGTCACTGTAGTGTAAGGACTGCCTGGACACAGGATTGACTTTGCGTGATCTGCGTGAGTCTGAGCTTCCAGGTCAAGCATTAGTGCAACTGGTTTGCCGCCTAGGAAGGGCAAAGCTAAAACGTTAGGCTGAACCAAGACTCTGGCTCTGCTGTCAGATTTGCTGCTAATGGGTGCCACTGATTTTTAAAAATGATGCGTCAGTCAGATGTTTTATCTGCTAAGGTTCAGAAAGAACAGCTAAAAAAAACCAAACAAAGTAGAAGTATGGGAATTGTGTGGGGGGGAGCTCTTCCTGCATTTAGCTTATGTGCTTAATTTGACACGGACTAGACATAGCGCTGTAATTCATTCTCCCGTATTGTGAAGCAGCCATGGTTTGCCTTTTGCACAGTAACAGAGAAACTCCTTCAAAAGTAGGAAGGCATAAGTGTCTAACCACAGAAACTGGCTAGAGTTGCAGAGGCAGAAATAGCACTGGAAAGTTTTAGGCCTGTTTTGAGTCTTATTCTTGTTGTTTCTCTTTAAAAGTAGAATGACTTTGAGCAGCCGGAAAATTCTAATGGTTGAACATAATTGTGTGGGTGGGGTGGCAGGAACTGTTATTTCCCTTAGGGATATTTGTCATAATTTTGTGTAAGAGCAGAAATAGACTTTGATCACTGATGTTACTACAGTATGACTCTTTCTCTCTGGCATGTTTAAACTCCCATTTCCCTTCTTATTTCCCCATCCTCCCAAAGCTTCCTAACCCTGTCTGTTGACTGGCTGTGACCTGTCTGCCATGTAGATAAGGTCCTTTCCAAAGCAGGAACTCAGGAACAGTTGAGCAGGGAAGTACTGGATTTTTTAATTGTTTTGTACACCACCTTACCTGTGCCCTTTTGATACGATTCTTGGTTCCTGATGTGATAAAGTGTTGATGAGTCTATTTATGATGATCGTTTATCTGTCTTAGTTTTCTGATGCATTCCCTATAATTTTGAAATACCACATTTGCTCAAACATGAGACTAACTTGAATATATGATGATCCCCCAATAATTAGGTTCTATAGATGGAAAACTTTATTAATTTGTTACAATTTTCCAGGTATAGAATCTAATTTATTGAAGGTTTGCCTTGAATATGTCTCCTTTCCTCTGCTATACCATGGAAAATGGGATCTGGGGAGGTTAAGTGGCCCATCTGCCCTCTGTCCCCTGCAATGTCTTCCCCTTTTCAGCCCGTCCTCCTCACCCCTTACTGTCAGACCCTGCTCTCCCTGAGCACATGGAAGTGAGGGGCAAATTTGAAAACACTGACTTGAAATAAGCATGCCTGTAAATTAGTTCATCCAGAATTGATGCCTTTTACCTCTTTAAAAAAACAAACCCAAACCTGTGTCAAGTTTTAGCACAGGCACCGCATAAACGCACTTTAAGCAGCACTTTTGTACCTTCTTACAGTACAAACTGTGCATGATATTAATCTAAAACCAAAAGGCTCATGATTTTCCCTATAGTTCATTGGGCTGGTCCCCAGCAGAGTCGACCAGTGTTTCAAGCCGTGGTGACCCAACAGCTCAGCACTACTTAGTATTTATGTGTACTCCATATATAATCACCCCCCTCCT